TATATCTTTCCCATGATTTCAAAAATTTATAAAAATAATAAAATATTATAAAATTATTAGCACCAATAGCTGACACTATACAAATAAACCACAATACTCGCTAGTGTAATTTTTTTATTTTCTACATTTCAAAAAGTAAATAATAAGCATACAAAATCTGATAAAATACATTCTTAGAACAAAAACGTGTAAGGTGCAAATATAGTACTTGACATAAAACGTACGTTTCATAAAACATAAGTTTCATAAAGTGCACGCAATCCTTTCATCGAAAGGGGTCAAGATCCAATGCATATTAGATTAAGTAAACTGAGTTAAAATTGAACAGCTGGCTGACATTTGATTGGCTGATCTTAGTTTAAACCAGCCAGATCGGGCGTTTAAACTTAGTTGAAACCACGGCCATGTACTGAAAAACTGGCCCTAAATGGCTCTCGCATTTATTTGTTTTAAATAGGTGGTACCCATTAGACGCTGAATCCACAATACCCTTCGTTCCCCTAATTGCACAGAAAAACAATGTTGTCACCATTAGGCTATTTTAATAAAAAGTTTCTTAAAATTTGTTTTTGTTATTTAACAACAATTCAACAATTTTTATTGATTTTGAGGCCGTTTCTAATGAAAAGATGTTGTGGAAAGACACCAATAATTTACCTATAAGTGTGTAGAAGTTATAGCTACTATCACCACATCTCCTCATCAGACTTCTTCACCATGGTCACTGGGATATAAACCATTAGAAACGGCATCAAGCTCAATAAAAATTGTTGAGATCCTAAAATATTTACCATTATTATTTATTTACTATTATTATCTTAAACTAAATGATGCAAAATTTTTATGTGCATTTCCCGCCAGCAGGGGGGGTTTAAAAACCACGATATTTTCGTAGTTCCGAGGAAAAAAACTGCGCTTTTAAGTAACTACTTGCTTAAAATATAATGAATATAGTACTTGAAACAAGTAAACCAATATCCTTAACTTGATATTAAATACGATTTTACTATTTTTGAGGATAATGCCATGATTTTAAGTAAAAACCTCCTTTATACCTTTAAACAAGTAAAAACTTGTTAAAGTTTCGGTAATTCTTCTTAAAAATTAGGAAGACATATTAAGTCTAAGTTGAGTTTAAAATATTACTTCTTTTCATGGTCAGGTAGAATATTGTAAACTAATATCCTCCGCTCCGCAGGCTCGCTGGGTGGCGCTCCCCCTCTCTGGCGATCTAATTATTACGATCTAGGAACAACAATCAATTACGGTTTCAGTTAAGCCAGGAAAATTTTAAATACATACATACATACATTCATATACATTAAACTGCATCACTCCCCATACAAAAAAAAAATTGTACTATTTTTCCATTGGAATTATAAAATATATTATATTTTAAGATGTCCACCAAAATATTTCGGAAAAATATTAAGATTTAAGTGAGCTGGACCGATTTGAAAATACCTCCAAAAATGGAGTTTTTTTATGAATAAAAATAGTTTCCTAAAGATTTTTTTTGGAAAAATCTCCTCAAATTACAAAACGGTTTAAGCTTAAAAAATTTGCATAACAATATTTTTAAAAAATGTTAAAAAAAATTTAACGGAATCGTGATGATGAGATTTTTGATGCTGTTTTTTTAACTTTCTTCAAAGATTGGTATAAGAAAAACTTGAATAACTGAACCTTAACTCCTCCGATTTAGACTTAAGAGGTGTCATTGGAAAGGTATGTTCTCACCCTTTTTATTTCTTTGCTAATAGACTTATTCAATGCATGAAAGAGAAAGGTAGGATGAACAAGCGGCATTCAAAGTTGAATTAAGATGTGCTGGTGTTTGGAAAATAAATACTGGGACATGAATGACTTTTTCTCACAGAAATAAGAACAGTGTGAAAAAACCTTTCTACTGAGATCCCATAAGTCTAAATCAGAATAGTTTTGGCCCAGTTATTCAAGTTTTTCGTAAATCAATCTTTGAAAAAAGTAAAAACACAGCATCAAAAAACTCATTCTTACGATTCCGTTGGAAAGGTTTTTAAATATTTTTATGCAGATTTTTTAAGCTTAATCTGATTTGTTATCTGAGGGGACTTTTACCAAAAAGTTCTTTAAGAAACTATTTTTATTCATAAAAAACTCCATTTTTGGAGGTATTTTCAGATCGGTCCAGCTCACTTAAATCTTAATATTTATCCGAAATATTTTGGTGGACGTCTTAAAATATAATAAATTTTGTAATCCCGGCGGAAAAACTGCAACTGTTTTTGGTGATGCAGTCTAATATACATATATGTAGGTATACTAAAGATAAATTATACTATCAGTCGAACAACACTTTGCATATTTACTTGACATTCACGCCAACTTTCAATCATTGAAGGATTGTGACAGAATTCGCATAAGATTACATGATCACAGGGAATAGTTACGTACGATTTCGCACGGATTTATTTTACTGCTTATATAGATTTTGAGATTTCCAGAATTTTGAACTCTTTAAGGCTCGTCAGTAGTGTTTGCGTTTGAATTTTCCTTAGAAAACTCGATCAAGTCATCTTCCAATTCGCCCTCAATTTCAATGCCAAATTCGTGTTTTCACAGTATACAGTAATCCAGCCATTGACAATATGCTTATTTGAAAATTAATACATTAAATATTGCGCATGTATTGGATTTTTTTGTCATTAACCCATAGGCAACGACTGGTGCAAAAGTACCCAGAAATATTTGTTGATGTATTCGAAATGTAAATTTAAAAGCAAAATTAATAATAAAATAATACTAAAACAAAAATATTGTTAATTACTACACGGGAGGTGGGCGTGGTAATTACAGATTTCGTTAAAATTTAATACTAAATACCAAAGGCATCGGCATCGAATTTCGTTGAAATATCTAAATTTTGTTCGAGTTAGCGTGTTTACAAGATGTATTTACTACTATTTTGGCAGTAACCTATCTGCGCAATGTGTTTGGATTCAGCAATCAAAGAGAGATAGTTTTGAGCCAAATTTTCCTTTTGCGCATGCGCAGGCAGCGTTGCCGAATTGAAGATTTCGTCGTAATTTTGACGTTTTTTTAGCTCAATGAAGTTTCTACGATATTTCCCCCGTAATGACGATTTTTTATTTTAGTTTTCCACTAAATTATAAATGTATGTATGTAAAAAAAATTTGTTACAGGAAACGTAATCCAAAATACAACCATGCATTTTGTTTTATAACCGTGCTTTTAGTTCTATTAAATTTGTTCTAGAATTGTAACCAAATGGTTAATTTGCACTGCTAACACTGATATGAAAGAGATAGAAAGGTAGGAGAGGGAATTTGTTCAGTCAAAGTTATCTATCAGTTAATAAATGCTAATGTTAAACTACGGGCCTTCACATCCATTTTGGTAGTTTTGGTAAATTGCTGGTTGGTACTCGGTAATTTTATCAACTGTGAACGTCCTTTTCAGTTTTCTTTTGTAGTCTGGTAACCATTCAGCGATTCGTAGCTTCTTTCATAAAAAAATAAATTCTTAAGGAAAATTTCAGGAATTTTACTTACTCATATGGGTTATGCTTTTCGGCAGCGGGTTGATTTAAAATTGAATAAATATCGAACAGCTGATTGCAGTTTACCAACTACCAGAAAAATTATCAAGCTTCCTTCACGATAAAGAAAAGTTTTAGCAGTTGCAGTGAACAGACGTGCTTTTTTGAGCTCCACCGATATCATACTAGTTTTCGGATCTTTCCGATTTACAAACACAAGCTCGTCTTGTTTGAATATGCTTTATCTCACGCACCTTTTCGTGTGTGCAATTCTGAATGTTGAGCATTAACAATATAGCTTAAGTTTTCCAGGTGAGTTATGTCTACCCCTTCCTCTGCTACTCTTAAACGCCGTCCAAGTAAAGGCTCTCCGCCCGCTAACAACAAAGCTGCAAATTTGGATGAGAGTATAGTTCTAAACACGGTACTCTCCACGATTGAGTGAAATAGAGATTGCGCCAATCGCGGTACCGCTAATCCGCTCTTTGTGATTTTGACAGAATCAGCTGTGTGCGTGACATCATCTTGGTGCAATTGTTGATTGTGAGCATACGAAAAAAACCAAATAACAATTTTAATATTTCTGCGTTAATATTTCTGCGTGGATTTAAACAATTATTGAGACATTACAAAGCAAAATGAAGTGTGCCGTGACAAAGTGTAATAGTAAACACAAAAGGAAAGCGTGCGATATAAATTTTTTTTTTCATTTCCTACGGGCGCGAATCTGGCGAAAAAGTGGAAGCAGTTGTGCCGGCGAGAAGATGCATTAAACACCAAATCGAGCTTTGTGCTATGTGTGTGAGCTATAAGCTCCTACATGGAACTATGTTGGCCTTTCCTTGGTGAATTGTAGTAGGTATATTTCCATGGTGAATGTAGACAGATGCTGGTTTAGTTTTCTGGTAATGACATTCATATAAAAGCAGTTTCTACAGTAAATAGATACATCAACTTCACTACTTACTTATTTTTGTTAGTACCTGATTCTTTTTAGTGCCGGTATGAGGTAAGTGGATAAGGTCGCCAGGCGCTAATTCCATCGGCATCTTGCCGCGCTGTTACGTACCTAATACAAAACAGTGCCCAAATTATTATACATTTAAAAGTTCAGCTTAAATTATGTTTTACTTACATAGAATATTTGTTTCTAAAGAAGCCACACCCATTCATCCTATCGGAAAAGGTACAAAAGTCACCAAATAAAAGCTGTGGAGTCAACAGCTGTGGAGTTTATGGTGGTTGGCTACCGTCCACAAATATAAATATGCACTCTGCATGGCTTTTTAGAATGGCGAGTCCAAAAATTCACTTTGCTGCACATCTTCCTTTTGGTCTACATGAAATTGCAAACACTGTCAATACATCAATTTTTTCATGTGCTAAAAATCGTACTTACCTAAAGGGCTACATGTCCGAAGTTATTGCTACGTGTTCCTAA